AAGTCTATATAAACATATGAGAAGGACATTAAGCATTACATAGCTGAGGTAATAACAGGAAACATTGGCTATCACAACACTTTGTCAATATATCCACTCATGTAATTTTGTAATTGCCCTTTTAACAAGAATATTCTGTATTGCCTTTGATGTGAATTGCACAGGAAAACAGCCAGAGTACCAAAGAGACCCGCAAATCCTAAAGTACAAGATTTATTATCTTCCCTTTAAACTTAGCAGTCATAAAATATAACACAAACTAGAAAATCTATTCATACTGTCAGTTGCTTGGGCCAGTGATAATGAAATAGACGCTCCACCACTTTTGTTCCAAAGAAATGAGGAACCTCTGGTCCTCCAGATATTGATGACTTGCCATTCCTAGCATCTTGGTTATAAACCATGATTTACACATTGCTTCAAGTATGTGTCTTATGTGTGCGGGGGGGGGGGGCATTTCCTGTCTCTAACTACCTGCCATTTAACATATTACACACAAAGAACAAAACCAAAATGAACTTCAATGTTGAATTGTACCAGCCGCAATATTCCTGTCTCTTTTTTACTTTCTCTCTCTCTGATCCTTTCTCACTTTCTTCCCTCTTCCCCAAACATTTTTATATTTCTGTAAACTTTGGGTTCTTCCAAATCTGCAGACACTTCCTACCTGAGCACCGATGGTATTATTTAATAATGAATTTCCTATTAAAATATATTCATATATGCCATATATCACAAGGCTGCCCTGAGATTTGTTTCATTTATCCATTGCAAATACACTGTGAATCCCCAAGTTAACTCAAAATTTTTAAAGCCAGATTTTTGTATATGCAAAATAACCTCAGGCAAAACCCTCAGGTTTAATGTAAAAATGGTTTCTGAAGGCAGTTAAGATCAACAGGAAATTTCTATCTAAAGTTCGTTGGCTCTCAATCTTGGGTGGTATCTGTGTGTATTCAAAATACTGTATCTGAAAGGAAGAAAGCCTGTAGGCCCGTCTGCTGGGGGAATGTTTTCATCTGGGACTATGGGGCTAGACGTTCTCTGCTGGTGCTCCCCTTCTTTGGAACAGCATCCCCCCTAAAATTAGACGGCAACTGGGGTTTAGGGGTTTAGAAAGATATTTAGTAAGCCATGTGATGGATCCCATTCTACACAATTCTTTCCTTTTTTCTATTGCAGATTTATACTGTTGCTTGGCAAACCATGTTATGTCAGAACTGTTGTTATTTTTATCATATTTATTGCGTTTAATATTTTCTACTGGAACTGGCCACATAAGCCACGTATATTGGCTCATGTTTGAAGCAGCCTGTAAGCCAGAATAACAAATATATTAAATAAGTAAGACTTGTTTGCCTTTCAAGGTGAAAATAAATTTTTTGATAGACTTGGTCTATCCAAAAATGAAGTATTCCCTCTTATTAAGAATGAAGCCAATGAAGCCAACGAAGTACAAGATATGATACAGTCTATTTTATTTTTATTTGATTTGTCAATCACTTACAAGATTATAGATATAAGTATAAACATGAGTAAGAATACAAGAAATAGGTACGAATAAATGGAGACAATAAGACAGGGACGGTAGGTACGATGGTGCACTTATGCACGCCCCTTACAAGGAAGAGTATTCTTACTCATGTAAACAGGGACTAGGCTCTGTGGACTATATACTACTCAGATTCTTATTCTGTTTACCAGCATGCATTACAAGTCATCAATTCCATTTTGATTTTTGGAAGGTTGAGCACATTAAATCCAAATTCAATTACTTCCACCACTGCATGCACAAATGTAACCTAGCACTGATCTATCATAGTTTACATACACACACACAACTTTTTTTCATCCTCAAAGATACTTAGCAATGCTAAATATTCTAAATATATATTTAAGTCACTTATTAAATTAGAGTATAAAACAACGAGCAGTACAAGAGAATGAATGTATAATGGGAAGAAAGGAAGAATCTAAATAGAGGAAAACAACCAAATTCACCCAGCTCCCTTATTTATGTGGAAGCGTATCATAAGCATGAAGATAAGAGCACAGGCTGCTGGAAGCTATTCAAAGAGGCAAAAACCATTTTGCAAAACTTTTGCCTAATGTTTTTGGAGAAGATAGAGATCAGGTGGGCTAGGTTACCAACCTTAACTATGTCCATGCTGCACATAGCATTCCCAGTTAACAGTAAGAACAGTACCAATCAGTTTGGGCATATTTAAACCCTAAATCATAAGTAAAGACCCATTTTACCCCAAGGATGTTCATAATGTTCTGTGGAAGCTTGGATCTCTGATTTAGAAACTATCATGCAAACCAGCATATTCTTCCCTACATATCCTCAACTACAAATGCTAGGAGTATACTCAGGATGTGTTACACTCAGGATGTACTACTTAATGTATTATGTTGTTGTTGTTTTAGGAGAGAGGTATTTACAGAATTTTCTGCCTAGCAACAAAAATAACTTGACAGCCTGGGACTTAATGTATCTTGACTAGGGATTAAGGGATGATGGCACTATTCTGCCGGTTGGTATCAGGCAGAAAAATGTCTCGAGGAGGTCTTAATTATTTAGAGGTTAAGGAGTTGAGGGTTTTTTTTTTTAAGAATCCAGAACTCTAGAAAGTTTTTTTTTTTTCAAGAAAACCATGGGAATTCAGGTCAGGCTAAAAAGAAATTGGTAAATCAAAGAGAAATACCCTTTTTTTAGAAAAGTTGAAAGGTGTCCTCAGTCCTGAAATAGATAAACTCTGGTTGTGGAGAGCAAATTGAAGGACTAAGAGAGGATAGGATGAAGCTTCTTTGTTAAGTGATATTTTGAAGCTGATAGTACTCACTGTGGCCATTATTCTGTGTGTAGACAAGTCATCTGCTTCCATATATATCTACCACATAACATGCTCTCAAAATTGCACTGGCCTAAAATGTTTGTTTTTCTTGGAATACTTGTAATATGATGGTCTCAAGATAGATAATGTGCCATCATACATACCACTAAGAAGATAGAAGGATTAGTTTAGACTTGGTTGACTTCAGAAGATATGGAAAGATGCCAAGATGCAGGCATAAGCAAGAAGGTATGAAAATGTTTGACAAAACTTCAAAACAAAAGGCATTTCAATAGATGTCTAGTCTTGTGACGCTAGTGGGCATGAATACAATTTTGAGAAAATACCATGATGCCTATGCATGTGAGTCTTTCACAAAAAAATGTTTTGATGGGATTTATTTTGTTATAGAACATCTGTTGAACATAGGGCAATGTGACAAAGATGAAAAGGCAGCATCTCCAAGAATCTGAATTCTAAACTCAGCTGGGGTCAGAATCTAAAATACAAATATATTTTTTCAAATGCATATTTCTCTCACTGATCTTGAATGATCTCCTTGTTTTACGTCTTAGCCCTATCATGTACAAGATCCAGTTATTTCATTCTCCCTCTCCCTCCCTCCCTCTCTTTCTCCCTCCCTCCCTCCCTCTCTCTCTCTCTCTCTCTCTCTCACACACACACACACACACACACACACACACACGGGTGTGGAGGGGAAATATTCCCTTGATTCTTCTCCTCCTTCTTTTCACCATCCTACCTTCATAAACATTTCTCAACATCATCTTTCCAACTTATTATATCATCCTATCCCTCTCTTCTTACTGCTTCATAGGCAATAACTCTGTGTCTATTCATTCCTATTTTTCAGTTTGTGGAAAACTGGAACTGTTCAAAGCAATCTATTGACATCCACTTGTCCACTGTTGTCAATACCAGTTATCCCTGGATTTATGAGGGTATAAAAGTCTTCAGTATAATGAATTATGGCAGTACTGAAACACACATTTTGCTCTGAAGAACTTCCATCTCAAAATAATAATTTGAAAAGCTAATATTTAAAAACCACAGGTATCGGCTGGGATTTTGTAGGGAGGCATTCCAATATGCACAATGAATTACATTATTTTTATTTACCTCGTAATTTCAGTTAACTCTCTGTAAGAGCAATGCATATATTGCAATTCTTTGAGGTTAGATTTTCAAAAAATATTTGCTAGGTCTTTAAGTTATTTGTATGTCATCCAATGATAGTAGTCTCTTGAGCATGTGTTTAGAATTTCTTGCTGATAAAGATCCTAAAGACCCTTCAATAATTGTTGGTCTATGATATAATTAATATCTAGTGTTGGGAATGAGAAAGGTTACTTTGTGCTTGAAGTGATGAGTGTTTGGACATAATTTGCATAGTCTAGGGATAATGCCATTATACTTCACAAGTTATGTCCATCTATGTTTCTGATAAAGGAGAATGTTTGTAAGGCAGACTTGAAATAAGTGGTCCTTGATGAGCTTGGTTGCTTTCTTGCACTTGTTTTATTACCCAAAATAGGTAACATGATCTTCAACTATTGAAATGCCTGCAAGAAAACAGCCAAGCTCAGAGAACACTAAAGACCCCCCATCTATATTTGTAGATCTATGTAAAAAGATTTTGAAGTTCATTTCTTGGGGTAGTTGCAAGGGCATTATCTTTAGTGAAAAAGCACCACTTCTGTTATAATAAAGTTGGAGCTAGGTACAAAAATGGGACATTCAGAAATTGGAAGGAAATTCCATTCTGAATCAGCTTAGTGGAGTTCTTTTGACTCTCTAATCCCTCCATCATGTTCATCTCTCACCTGAAGTGTCCGGCAAACATACCATTGGTGATGTAGGACACGTGCAAGCTGTTAATGTGCAACCAACGGAGGAGGGGAGGAGGGGAGGAAGAAGGAAAGAAGGAGGGGAGAGGGCCAAATTGTAGCATTGTAGCCCAATTAAGGGATAAAACGTTTAAGGGCTTTGGGGGATCTTGTTCTCCAAGATGAAAGCTTAATCTTCTGGGGGGGGCAGTTATATAAATGGGTAGGATTTTGAACCTTAGCATAGACTATTGGATTGGAGAGGCTGATCAAGGGCGGAGAGAAAGAGCAACAAGAAAGAGAACTGAGAAAGAAAGAGAACGTGGGAGAGAGGAAGAGGGCAAGAACCGCAAACAAGGGGAAAGACAGTAATCAAGGCCATGACAGAGGCCTGGGATGTGGCAGTGTTTGCTGCTCGGCGGCACAACGATGATGAAGATACCACTAAGGAAACTTTATTTGCTTATACCAACAGCAACAATACCCGTGGTGAGTTTGGCAAGGGCCTCAGAACAGGGGTAGGTGGGCTGGCTAAGATTGGTTCACAGGATAAACTTTTACAAGAACAGGGCAAGTAGGTGGGCTTTCTTCAGCTGACTTCAACCTTGGCAATTAAATGTCTTTGGAAGAGGGGTCCCAGAAATAGAATTTGCTAGTTACCACTGGAACGGTTCTGGATAAGGAAGGCCTCCAAGTAGTCCCAGTAGAAGGATGGAAGTGACAGTGATGGTCTTAGTATACTATAAGTCATAGAGATGTATATACTTTCCTATGGATGAACTCTTGAATTATTTACAAGAATAGGGACTTTGTCTTATTTTAGCAGAATGCATCCCTGATTGATTTGCCCAAGATGCTATTATGCTTGCTGAGATCCTTCTAATATTTAACTTTGTCCATCTTCTGGCAGACCCTTTTGAAGGTCCAAACTATCATATTGCACCACGATGGGTCTACAACTTAACTTCACTCTGGATGATCTTTGTTGTCATTGCCTCAGTCTTTACCAATGGTTTGGTATTGGTGGCCACAGCCAAATTCAAGAAATTACGGCATCCGCTCAACTGGATTTTGGTGAACTTGGCTATAGCTGATTTGGGTGAAACAGTTATTGCTAGCACCATCAGTGTCATCAACCAGATCTTTGGCTATTTCATCCTTGGCCATCCTTTGTGTGTTTTGGAGGGTTATACTGTCTCTGCTTGTGGTAAGAAGTACTTATTCGTCATGTTTTCTGCTTAATCCCTTGTTACCCCAATCTCTTCCCTTCAGGTCACAGTTTTATCCTCTTCCCCCTAATATAAGCACATCCTATAATCCTTTTGTCCTCAGAGATCACCCATCATGCTGCTCCTTTTCTCTCCATGTCCCTGAGTTGCTACCCTGTTAATCCCATGCATTATAGGACACATCTGGCAGAATATGTTGTAAAGGTTTCAGTATAACCATTTCAGTTTTCTGACCCTTGATGCTGTTTCATATAAATGATTTAGCAGGTCAGAAACTGAATTTCTATATGATAGATTACATATAACACACACACACATGCACACACACCTAATAGAGCTCTGAGCATACTATTATCCTCTTCTGCTCTTCCTTCCCAGGCATTACAGCTCTCTGGTCTTTGGCCATTATTTCCTGGGAGCGCTGGGTTGTTGTTTGCAAACCTTTTGGAAATGTCAAGTTTGATGCTAAAATGGCTCTTGGTGGTATTTTCTTCTCCTGGATATGGTCTTGTACCTGGACAGCACCACCAATCTTTGGCTGGAGTAGGTAAGTTTGAGGGGATGGTACAGAGTAACATCACTGGAAACAAAGGAGCAAGGTGATGTCCTTCATTTTCAGCAGCTTTCCAACATAACTAAAAAATAAACTTTTGTATATGTTCACGTAAAGAGTGGCTAGCTTTCGTCAAGAATGTTGATAGGGAAGAGTCAGTGATTTGGCTTTCTTTCTTTCAATGAGAAATGAGTTACGTGGATCATTGATCTTTTTTAATCTACAAGTCATTAAATCTTTCATTTGGCATTTATTTTTAGGAGATGGTGAGCAATGAGCAGGATATGTGTACAAGGGTATTCAGATGTTGAAGCCTAAAGCAATTCTGAGCGCAACTGCTTTGTCATGTGTTTGTCAAATCTTATCTTGGTCAGAATGTTGTGTGACATCAGAAATTATTCTGTTTTATTTTATATGAACAACTGTAAAACATACTAAGAGGGGCTCAAAAGATTAGATTACTCAAATCTCAAATGTGAAAATGACTTTCATCTCCTCCCAACCAGATACTGGCCCCATGGTCTGAAAACATCATGTGGTCCAGATGTATTCAGTGGCAATGAAGATCCAGGTGTCCAGTCTTACATGATTGTCCTGATGATTACCTGTTGTGCAATTCCCCTGAGCGTCATCATTATTTGTTACTTGCAAGTGTGGATGGCTATCCGTGCGGTAAATACACACATTGTATTATATCACAGATGTCATATATCTTTCCTTTCCTTTAGCACCCTCCTTCATGTCCCTTGTGACAGGATCTCTCTTCCTTATAAAGCACACTTTCTTCCAAATTGAAGTATCACTGCTATAGAGTCTCCAATTGATAGCTATATAGAGAATTAATCAATTGTTAAGAAGCCACAATTCTGTCACTGTACTTGAAAATCCTTAATCACATTGCAACACAAATAAGATCTCCTCACTACCAATATATACCTAGATAGTTTCCCTAACGTGATCTCCACTTCTATAAAAGTCCTCTGGCTAATCTCAGTTTCCTAATAAGACCTTTGCCAGGAATGATTTCCAATTTTCTTTAGTTCATCTTCCCTATACTTCTGCTTATATTATTTTACTTATAAAAGGATATCCACATACAAATTTAATCTGGATCCAATTTCTGTGGTAAACTCCTTTCTCTCTCTTGTTCCAAATCACACCTAGGGATCTGAGATGTACCTTATTGGCCTTACTTCTTTCTTTTCTCTCATAGGTTGCAGCCCAGCAGAAAGAGTCAGAATCCACACAGAAGGCTGAGAAGGAAGTGTCAAGGATGGTAGTGGTCATGATCCTTGCCTACATTGTCTGCTGGGGACCATATACATTTTTTGCCTGTTTTGCTGCTGCCAATCCAGGCTATGCCTTTCACCCCCTGACAGCTGCCATGCCTGCCTTCTTTGCAAAAAGCGCCACCATTTATAACCCAATTATCTATGTCTTCATGAACAGACAGGTAATTTGCTTTGCCCCAGTGGAATAGCTGGAAATTATTGGAATTGAGAGAGACGGGCGGATTAAGAGTATTGAACGGAAAGCAACTGGGGGATGTGGGTTATATCATTTGGGGATTATGTTGTATGTGGTGGAAAAGGGTAGAACTTGTAAACGCTCATTGACATTTGTCTGTCTCCTGGCAGTTCCGTAATTGCATAATGCAGCTCTTTGGCAAGAAAGTGGATGATGGTTCTGAACTTTCTACTTCCCGCACTGAAGTCTCATCTGCCTCTAACTCTTCTGTATCACCGGCATAAGAGCTCTTTCTTGATATATATCAAGACAGTTCTGCCTCCCAGGAGAGCCCTAGTGAGAATTTCTCCTTCTTTCCGCAGCATATGGATTCCCTATGCATATCTAACATATTGGGCTGCTATTGCACAAACCCGTTCCTTGGACTTAAGACTGTGACCCAGGTTGGGTGCTTCTATTTCTCCTAGGGAGAGGGAGGTGTTTCCGCTTTCCTTTCAGAATTGATTAAGAGATGGCAATGAAAAGGTCATATCTCTATATTCAAATATTCCATCAGTCTGATATTTTCCTGGGGATTCAGAGGTTGTTTTGATTGTTGATTTCATCCCCTATCATTGTATCTTTAATTAATCTTTCACTTATCCTTTGGACTGCAAGAGAGGCAGAACAAAGGGGGCTCCTGTGGAAAGTTTATGACTTTTGTGAAGCAAGTCTATCCCTCCCCCCTTTTTTTATATAGAGAATCTTCTAAGATTTGAAGATTTGAAGGTGAGTATCTTCAAGATGCCACTTCCTATGAATGGGTAGATAGTTTGATGTATCCACAAAAGGAGATAATCTAGACATCAGCCGCAGCAGTTCTATTTTGATTATCTTTTGCTCTGCCCCTCTTATGAAGTGTTTGGGTGGGTGCAGGGAGTTTATTGAAAGGAGGCTGGAGAATGAAGTTGTCCCCTGCAATTTCTGTGCCTCAGCATGTTTGGAGATACTGATTTCTAGCTATGCCTAAGAGGAAACATAATTCTGGCAGAAATCATAGATGAGAACTTGCCGTCAGCACTTTGGCCATCCCAGAACTCTGTATATCTCCTCAGCATGGCTAAACAGGGCCCACTCTGTACATAATATTTGATATTAAAATCACCCATGTTCCATGGGTTATTTAGCTAGAAATGCAATTGATAAAATTATTTTTAAAAACTTTACAGCAGTGAGACAGAATAAATTAATGTACAAAAATGTTTACCTTCTGTATAAAAGCTGAGCTTGTATCTTACAAATGATGTTGTGAAACACTACATTTTGTCCACAATATGTACTGCTTGAAATGTATCCAAGAATGTGGGAATTTGCCTTAGCTGCCAATATACTGACTGAGGATTAGTGGGAAAAGAGAAATAACAAAATGTAATTTTAATTTTTGACAATGGATATTTGTAGAAATCAAACAGGGTGAAACTGGTAGCTCAAACTAAAGAATATGCGTCACCCCTGACAGCAGAAAAGTGTAAGAGAAGCAAATCTGAGCAATGAGATAGAACATTTGGGAAGTTTTCTTGTGCAAACCTTAACTGATGAGATGAGTACTGAAGGAAATATTTTCTGTTATTAAAATGCAATAGGATTTCCTGTCTCAGGTACCAAAAAAATTGTGGGCTGAATAGCTTAAACAAGGATTTAAACCTATCAAATTCCATTTATTTTCTTTCATGTGCAATCATGCTTCCATATACACAACATATGTGCATGCACATGTTCCTCTCTTCCTCTCCAAAAGTTGAACCTCCACACCACATTCAAGTTTCCTGCAATGTTTTTCAGCTCATCTGGGATGCTAGAATTCAGAGGTGGATTGTCATGTGAAGTTGTCATTCAAGCAGCTTTGTAATTTAGTTCTCCATACCTATAGAAACAATCAAGGAGAAAAGAAAGAACAGAAAGACAGACTACTTTTTTATTTTAATAAACAAATAAATAGTTATATTGTTGAGAAGCTGCTTAGTTGCAGCATAGGTACAGAAATAGTGATACCAATGTTGTCTGACTGTCAAGATGAAGGAAGCCATGTTTTCCATTCTGACTCAATGATGTCATGGAAGTAATTCCATGCAAGAGTTATGATGGTAATCACAAGGAGAGTGGACACGGCCCGCATACGAGTATGCAGAAGAGGAACTATAAAAGCTGAAATTGTTGAAAAAAACACCAGGATAATGGCAGCAATGGTCAATAGCAGGTTCATGAGCTGTCCATAAAGCTTATACATACTGGCCTGGGGCATCTCCATTGCCTCCTGCTGTTGGGCTTGCTGCTGCTGTTCCAGTTTGGCAAGTCGGGTCTGGTAGGAATCCAGCACCTCCTACCACAAAGACAAGGAAAAAACAAGAGGTCAGGACAAGACCAGCCAATTTCCAGACACTGATTTAGTTAATCCCAGGTGGATTTCCACAGTGTTATTTTTCACCTGCCATTTGCAGGTTCACATGCTCTAATTTTTTGATGGCTCTATTTATATCTGCGAAGAGGAAGATCGGTTTTCTGGCTCCTGGGTAACCCAAGTGGCGCTATGCCTACCCAGATGCCAACAAGTTCAGAAGACTGCCAGGGTTTACAAATGCACAAGAGGAAATACTTTAGAGGAAAAATGTTGAGGGGACTTCAAAACAGCCCAATTAATACTATGCTCATTGGTCATAGAATGCTGACTTGTACAAAAGGGGAGGGCACAATGCAATATTTTGTTGTAGAGCCCACTTATGTGTATTACCAATGCTAACACACTGATGTTGCAGTATGTGCAAAAGCAGGTTCATGGTGATCTTATCAGCAGACAAAATAACAGTGCAAGTGCTTGTATCACTTATAACATTGTTCTATAATCCTTCATCCTCTGAGTTTTCTGGCACCCTACAATGACAGTCATTGCAGCCTTCATTTCTTTTTGCAAAAATACACTTCTCTCTCTCTAAAGACAGTTGTCATAGCCTATTGAGCAAGATGGGATATTACAATTTTTTCTTTTGTTCCATTTCTATGCACTCTGTCACATGTAACCTGTTCCAATGTCCTGTTCCTTGCTCCAAGAACAATAGTGTGCACAGCACCTATGCATTTAGTTAAGCAGTCTCTTACCCAGACATCCCGGGACCTCTCATAAGATTGATACACCATCTTCTCCTCAGTGCAGGCCAGATCATGTTTGAGGTTGGTGATTTCATTGAGATTTAGCTGTACTGCATCATTCACTTGTATTTCCAGGTTATAGTGCCTGAAGAAGGGTGGCATTAAGTCAGGTTCTGTAATCTGATCCTGTGTTCTAAGTCCTTTTTCCCTCCCCTTCCCCCCCCCACCTCCCAGCCAACTGGTTGATCTTGTTACAGTCACCACTTTAGGCATTGCTGGATAAATGGATTATAATGATCTGGCTCTGCTTCCTGATTTGACACTTCTAGTACAAGAAAAGGGTGTCTATGCTCATCCTGGATTGGAAAAGGGAGGAGAGGATTACAAGTATTCAGTGCCATCTGGGTTTGGGAATGTGAAAACAAAAGAAACCAAACATTCTGGAGTACATCAAAGCACTGAAACTAATACTGGTGGGAAAAAATACTTTTGGGAACCCAGTGAGGTTTGGAACTTAGAAAGGCAGTATTGCTGCCAAAGATGTGACAACAAGTAGATGAACAATTTGGTAAGCTGAATTATTATGCTAAAAATGCTTCTGAACAGTTCTCTACCAGATATTCTTTTATCTACATGAAATTATCTGAAGGTAAAAATAGACATAATAAATATGAACTCAAATTTCTTTATTTGCAATGATTGACTTCCTTTTGGCTACATAACAGAGATATTTACTAGCAAAGGGAATGGTTACTCAGCCATCAGTCTGGTCTCTTATGTCATGCAGTAGGTACATTATTTTATTATTTTTTTAAAGAAAAATATGAAGAATTATCTGTTCATTCACTGAAATTACTTTTTTAGAAATGAATCTTTTAAATAGTCTAGTTTATTTATAATCTTATCTAATCTGATTGGAGGATAATGGGATGGAAAATACCAGCAAAGAAACCAACCCAGTACTAGTGTGTTTCTGCTTTGCTTTGAAAGCACATCAATAAATGTGGTGTGACAACAGTGAAGATATCCCAAGTGGATTAATTGTTATAAAAATGTTTTCATTCTCTACATGCTTCTGCATACAAGAGGGATCTTTTTCCAATTAAAAAATATTGCAACAATCCTCCTGGCTAAGGAGATTGTGGCTATGCCCTTTTCATATCACAAGAAAACAAGAAGTTTCTAAGTAATGTCAATAAAGCATGGAGAAGATCAGAAGAAATAGGCAAGTTATGGTCTGTATTATGATACTACATTAGTAACTGCCTGCTTATTTGTGTGTGAGTATGGCATATGAAGCAAAGAGTTTCATATCCAGGAAAGACATAGTGGATTTGTCACTAAAGATAAAACTGTGATGTTCTAAGAGAATGAGTCTCAGGAGGAAACAGGACACCAGGGACAATCAAGCCTGCAATGGGAAGGAAATGGAATACTGGGAACCACTCTTCTCAAGAATGTGGATGCCCACCTTTTCTTTTCCTCCTGTAGGAGTTCCATAATTTGCTTTTTATCAGCTTTCCAAGCTTCGTCTAACTTGTTCCTCTGACTGTCCAGGACTTTGTGATACTCCTTTAGCTCCGTGATCTGGCTCCTCAGTTCCTGAAGCTTCTTTTTTGCCTCCTCTTCAAGATACTGCTTTGGGGCTGCTTCTATGATTGACTCATTTTCTGGGCTCTCTGGGATGGAGCATTCTTCTATTAGAGGAGCTTCTGTAGGGCGGAACTTGAACATGTTATATGGCCCCTGGTGGGCCACATTGACCTTGAGAGTTTGGGGCGGGGGAGAGGGACTGCTGTCTGCAGGTGATAAATTCTTCTGCTCTAATCTCTTCAGTTGGGTCAAGCAATCCTGCAGACGCTGTTCAAGATGAGCAATATTAGCCGAGGAGCGTTGGTTGATACGTTCAAATGCTTGACGGATGGAGGGTGCCTTTTCCCTATCAGCTTTGCTTACCAGTTCCACATAAGTGGAAAGGTTGTCATCACGATTGGCCTTCTCCACTCGCAGCAATTCAGACAAGTGCAATATACGATGGCGTAGAGCATCTTTCGGACTTCGGTAACTTGACTGGGAAGATCCGGAAGCAGCAGAGGACCTGCGGATCTGACTGGAGTCCACTTGCTACAAGGATGGAGCAGGAAGACAGGAATAGCAAAGAGAAGTATACCAATTTAAGTTACCGCAGAATTGTCATATTTTACATGCAGCTCCCATTAGGTAGCTAACAATGTACCTATCTTGAGTGACCCTAGAATGTTAAGCCATACACTGTCTATTTTGTATTTACACCCATATTCTCTACTCTGCTTTCATGTAGGACAGCCAGTTTCTCTTTCTGTATAGAAAGATGGAGTGCTCTCTCATTTGGAGATTGTGAGAGGAACAGGGATGCTAAATAAGAGATAATTGTCCAATAACTCTCTTTTCAGGCAAACCTATGGCAACTTTATAAGTCTGGATATTGAGTGCTAGTTCTTGCTGTTCCCTTAGTTCAAATTTCTAAATTAAACAAGATTCTTAATAGAATTATATTTTGAACCTTGTTCATTCTCTTCCAACCTGATTACCTCTCTTGCTTCACCAGTGGATTTAAGCATTGATTCCTCAGTATCT